ATCCACGGAGATCGCTCACAAAAGGCTATGAGAAGTGGCAATTTAGTTCGCACTTTAGTTTGCTAATATCTGGACCACCCCAAACCCAAAACTGTGCTGTGTGCGATTGGTTTATTGCATTTTACGGCCTCTATAATTTGTCCTATGGCCAGACGACTCGACTCGCAAGTGAAGGCAAATCTCGACCGGAGTTCGGTTCGAGTTGAAACCGAAGCTAGTAATTTGAGTTTGACTTCTTGGCCCAAAGCTCGAATGGATAATGTCCGGGGCTGCCTGCCTGCCTGCCTGCCCGCCTGGCTGGCTGCCTGATCGATGCAAAGAGTGTATGGTTTATATATCGTTTATATGGCAGCGACTTGTGCCGGGGCAGCTGTAAGCCATCAGACAATTTGCTCCATAAATGGCCAAAGGCGCCAGGTTTTTTTTTCGCTGTTTTCCGATTATAATTTGGAGTCGCGCGTGGACAGAGCAGAGCCAGAGAGCCAGGAGAGTGGACACAAAACCAAATCAGTTAGCATTGCCGTCGTGCACAATTCGCTAACCTCAGGCACGGCGACGAGCTGATGATGGCCACAGCCAACACAGAAAAAAAAAATACACATTAGAAATGGGATAAAAAGGGGAAATGGCAATGGATGACAAAATTAAAATTCATTCACGCTCAAGTAAATATTTACGCAATAAATTTGCATTTAATTGCATTTGAGAGAGGAGCCCCGACACACGCATGCCGCCACAACACACACACACACAAAACACTGGCCTCAAATCAAATCAAATTAGAAAACAATCCGCCCCCATCCTGTATCCCCCCCTCACATCCATTCCCATGCCACATGGGAGACTCTGTATGTTGTCTCTCCCCTGGCCAAAACAATTTGCTCGTCGCATCAAAATCTAATCAAATTATGCGCCAGAAATGTCAAAAAAGCGTGAAATGTTTGGCTCCGGGGGGACCCGACCCCGCGCACGGCCTTGTATTAGCCCCACAACAGACCCGGGAATAGGAGAATGTGCTGCTCCATGTCTGGCACCACCTGTGTGTGCTGCGGGTGTGTGTGCCCCATTCTACTCTGTGATTCAACTAGAAATCGCATCAAAATTGCACAAAATAAGAAGCGCTCAACAAATCATTTGCAAATTTTATGCAAAATACATGCAAAAGTGTTTGGCAAATATCCGGCCTGATCAGTATCCATATCCGTATCTGTGTCTGCGTATCTGGTAGCTGTTAGCCAGCAATTGTATCTGCCTCTGCCACGGCCACGGGGCCAGGGGGGCTGTGGCACGCACATTTTTGGAACGCTTCTGCCGAAATGCAGGCTATAAATGAGCCAGAAATTCGAGTGGATGTGCATGATGGGTGGGAGGGAGGTAGGAGACACCCGGCGGCGGCTAAAATGTTTTTATGCGGTTCGCTTAATGTGTTTTTGGCCATAAACCAACTGACAACTGGCAAACTGGCTAAAAATTCACGTGGGTCCAGCGACAGGAATCCTGCTGCTGGCTATGCTTCCTCCTACTCCTACTCCTACTCCCCCTCCTGCTCCAAACCATCAGAAATCATTCTCAAAACTTTTGTTTCTGCGTTTATTTGTTTTAGCGGACGCCTAATTGCATTTTCAACATTCTACACTCACTGATTTCGGCTTTCTACCCTACCTCCACCTCCGTGCCCACCACTCCCATTCCCTCTGCCTGTGTGTATTGTAATTGAAATCGCAGCCGGGGTGCAGCAGCCCCTGTGTCCATGACAAGTTCATTTAGGCGAGGCACTTCCTCCTCTGCTCCCACAGCTGCTGCTGCTACTGCTACTGCTCCTCTGACAGCTCTGAGGAAAAACGTTTTGCGTGAGAAAAATATTGCATTGGGAAATGACTGAAAAAGTCTTAATTTGCAGACAAAAACCACACTCAGGGGAAGGGAGAGACCGGCTTGGTTTTTTTTTTGTTTTTTGCCATTGCTTCTACACTGGTAACCGCAATTTAATTATAAGTATTATTATTACACACACATATCTATTGGCAATTGGCAATTCAATTTGCTTTTCTGGCTACTTAGACTCGGATTTGGTATTCGTTTTTGGGGGTGGAACGGACAGCAAACAAATCCCAAAGGCAATTCCAAAAAAGACGGAAACGCCGCCAGATGATACCCTGCCAAAGCGATGGGAACTAAATATTTGCAAATAATTATAAATACAAATGGATACCAAGGAATGGGAGTCCTTCGGTTCGATTGGTTTTTTTTTAGCTGGGGATTAAAAATCCAAATCGAGTAGGAATTTTCCGTCACCATTCGCTCATTCGAAATCCAACAACTAAATCGAAATAGACTAAAGTAAAATTTATGGTGAAGAATGCGACTCTTGCAAAGATTGGGCGCAACATCTACAGGAGCAGGTTCCAATGGATGCTCGTGAAGAGCTGCGTCGTCTTCGTTTTGTGTGCCGGTGTGTCCAAGCTGTTTGTTGTTGGACTAATGGCCTCCATGGGACCAACATAGACAACATACAAAACCAAAATGCGGGGCCAACATAGACAACATACAAAACCAAACCAAAATGTGTGGGCAGAGTGCAAATAAGGCAGTTCAAGTTAATTAGTTAATAACAAATAAAACGACTAAAAGAAAAAAATAAAATAAACAGATTTCAGAGCAGAGTTTTCGCCCACGTAGGGAAGGACTTGGGAATTGCTTGAGAGAGCGGCCTGCACATAAAGCACATGAAGGGTAGCAAGGGATAGCTGATCGCCGGCTAAAGATGACAGTCTCTGGTCTCTGATGTTTTGTAGCCGAAGGAGTCAATCAATCGCCCAATATCTCATACAGATTCGGATATGCCTCGTTATTTGTTTGAATCGAAAAGGGTATTATAATATTGCACATGGGAGAGCATGGCAATGACAATGGCCACCTTTTCCGAAAAGGATTTATCCAAAGCGAAACTATGTGCAACCCAAGTGGCCAAAAGGCAGCTGCAATAAGCTCTAGTTATGGCTGCAACACTCGCACAGGAAGAGGCATCATAAATCCGACACGTTGCCTCAAAATTAATTCCGTACGGGTAGAGAGACGCCTCTCGAAAACTGAAGCTGGAAAACTGACTGCAGCCTCAGCATCCAGATGGCAGATGAGCCATCACAAAACATTTTAGTGCCCGCAGGCACACTAGACCGAGGATATGGTCCACACACAGTGTCCGTGCCACAGACAACTTATATTAATTAATGCAAAATTGCATTACGGATATGCATACGCATACGGATACGGACACAGGTGCACCAGGTGCACAGGTCTCTCCCGGGTGCCCAGAGAGATTGGAGTCGGAGGAGCAGCAGGGGCAGAGGCACAGGCAGCCACCAGCCACAGCAGCAGAAACACATGAAAAAGAGTCGTAAAATGAAAACATATTGACAATAAAGAAAACGACAAACTAACAAACGAACCGAAGGAGAGGTAGAAGTAGAAGCGGAGAGCTGTGGCGGCTAACCATTTCGATAGATGCACAACTTTGGGTTGGTTTTGCTGCCCAGTGGGTGGGGTGGGTGTAGCGTCTCACACATGTCCCATGCAAAGTGCCTGCTCAACAAGAGCTTCCAGGCATCCCCTCCCAGCATGCAAGTTGCCACTTAAGCCCAAGCCACCCTCGCCACCGTTTCTTGCTTCATGCTCCATGCTGCATGCAATGCAAATTATCTGCCCCACAGCTCTGATTTGGCCCCATACTTTCGGACACTTATTGTGTGCGACTGTCGTCGTCGCCATTGTCGTTGTCTCCATAGTCGTGGCCTGGCCTGACTCTCAAAGTCTAGAGAGATTGGTTGCTGGTCGCCATGGCAGCCTCCAGTCTGCAGCTGGCAACACATGCAACCAGGCAATGGACAGGCAAGCTGGACAGAGGAGAGAGGCGAAGCCAAAACTAAAATCAAATTAAATTATAATTAATATTTGCTCCATTTGACTTCGGCTATTTCCGTAGAAATATTTTCAATATTTATAATTATTTGGAATTATATTTCGGAAGATTATTTGACTTTTAGCTATGGGTAAATCAATACCAGCAGCAGGTAAACAATAACAGTGGGAGAGATCTACAACAGTGGCAGAGATTTATAATAGCGGCAGAGACCAATAACAGCGACAGTAACAGCAGCAGAACGGAACAGAACAGCCCGGAACAGAATGGAACGGAACAGCACAAGCAGAGAATCAGCAGAGGAAGAGCAGCAGCAGAAGAAGTGAATATCGCAGAGAAAGTCGCAAAAGAGAAGTCCCAGCAGTCAGCAGAAGAAATACATAACGCGCAGTAGCAGCGAACATCAGCCGTTTATAATTTATAATAAACCAGAATAGTTAAATTGCTTATTCCTAGACTGGCCCTGTCAACCGCCTATCAAAATATTTTACATTTTTATTCCCTAGTTCCCTAAATGTCAAAAGATATAGAGAAATTTTACTGTGCTAATGGCATTTTAATTGCTTTTATCAGTAATATTACTGAATTGTTTTCTAACCAATTAACCAATGGGATAACAGAGCAAAAGTTCCTTTATTCGCGTATTAAAACTAAGGTTTACTAAGGTTTTCCGTGCCACTGTCTGTCTCTATGGAGTGTCAGCAGTATGTATGCCCCCTCTTCTGCCTATATGTTACCTTTTTCAATGTTTTGGTGGCGTCGTGCCTCACTAAGCACAGCCCCAGCCCCAGAAGTGTGGCAGACAATGCAGCACACGATAAAGCACGATGCGATGTGCGGCCTACAGAGAGAAAGATGGAAGAAAAATTTGCTTGAAAATTTACTTAATGCTATTTTATAATAGGTTTTTTTTGCTCGCTTACGATTGCGGCGGGTTATGACAGTGCCTGTGTGGTTAGGCTTCGTTGGGTCTGGGGTCTGGGGTCTTTCTATCTCTCTTAATTGTGGGGGGGGGCCGCCTCTTGTGGCATCGATTGCACAATTTCAAATGGTTTTGCATTGGTACGAGTAAAAGTCAAAAAGGCAGCCAGCGAAGAGAGATAGTGAATTGATTTACTGGACTATTATTAGTTCGTTGCATTAACAGACATTATTACATTTCGGAGGGAAGGATATATGTGGGGGTGGTTAAGTGGGGGGCGATAATCGGAAAAATGACCAAAGAATTTCCGTATTAACTTTAGCTTATACACACTATCTGTGAAATCAACACGGCACGCTCTGCAGGTTTACGGTGGAGAGGGAAGAGGGAGGGAGGTGTGTCGCCTCTCTCTAGGTGTTTGATGACTCGGGCTTATCGTCAACATTGCGCAGCCAGGAGCACTTGAGGATCTCGCGCAGATTCCAGCGAGCAGTCGACTCCGGCTCCAGCAGAACAGAGACGGTGGCCTTGGCGGGTGCCGTGATGCTCTCCTGCAGCTTGCGACGGAAGGCGAACTTGCGATTGCGCTGATCCTCCAGCAGCTTGGTCAGGTTGCTGTCATCGAAGGGCATCTTGGCGTTCATCATGATGAACAGAATGACGCCCAATGACCAGGCATCGGCCACCTTCGGATCGTAGGGCTGTCCGGCCACCACCTCGGGTGCGGCATAGGCCGCCGAACCGCAGTACGTGTCCGACTTCATCTCGAGGCCGCCATCGTCGCGGCAGTAGCGAGCGAAGCCAAAGTCGGCCAGCTTGATATTGAGGCGCTTCGACAGCAGAATGTTCTCGCACTTGAGATCGCGATGGGCAATGTCGATGTTGTGCAGATACCGCAGGGCCTTGGCCATCTGCAGGAACCAGATCCGCGACTGCTTCTCATCGATGGGACCCATCTTCTTGATGTGCGACAGCAGGTCACCGTTCTCGGCGAACCGCATGAAGATGAAGATCTTGGGGCCGCGCTGCAGTATGCTGTGGATCTGGATGATGTTCGGATGGTCGATCTTCGTCAGGATGTCCAGCTCGCGCGGAAAGAACTTGTTCACAAAGTCAGCGGGCGCCCGAGCCTTGTCGATGATCTTGCAGGCCAAATGGACGCCATGACCGGCCTCGTCCGAATAGCCGGCGGTGATCACAGTGGCATAGGAGCCCTCGCCGATCTTGTGGCCCACGTTGTAGCCGCGCTGGGCCAAGGCATCGACGTCCGAGGAGCGGGTACTCAACTGGCGTCCGCCCACGCTGAATTTTGACATGATTTCTATCTAAATATACGTAACCGATTCACGACTGGACTCTGCTGTGCGTTCGTGCGTCTTTGGTGTTATTTTCTTTTGCCAACTGTTGTCGTAGACGAAAGCGGAAAATGGATTAGCCCAGGGGTGGAAGGATTCGTGGGAGGGGGTATTGGTGGTGGTGTTGTTGGTTAGTTTATTTACCTTGACGTTGGTTGACTTCACAAACGTTGCAATTTGAATTGGTGTAATTGATTGAGCTAACGAAAATATTCCTACAATTCAAGTCCAAAAATTTTGACAAAATTACAAACGTATGAGGTATGTGGGGGGTTTGAGACGAACACAAAAATAAATACAAAAAAACTGAAATGACGCTCAAACGAACTGTGTGAGATACAATAAATTTGGTGCCAGATCCAAACACGACTACTGATTTACACAAATTACACTTCAGCCCACAGCCTGCCTGTTGGCAGAGTGTTTGACCAGAAATTAAATTTAAATTGTACTACATGTAAGAGAGCCCTCCCTTGAGAATTCTGTCAAATGTATAAAGTCTGTGGATTTTTGGCCACTCAGCTGCTAACAACCCATAAGAGGGAAGCACAAACTGCCTGCATTTCCCCCATAACTTTCCACAACTTGAAGGAAACTTTCATATGCAAATAATACGCGACATTTCCACTCTAACAACGTTGAACATAATCTTTTATCATTAATAGAAATAAATGGTAATGGCTTTTAAGCCACAGTTTTCGTAGAGTTGTAACAAAATCGTTGATAAAATCGGGAAAAAAATGCAAACTAAAAAATATTTGAAGTATTTTGTGAAAATGCTAAAAATTTAGATAAACATTTTATAATGAAGAAAAATGTTCTAAAAATCTAGAAAATTAACCAATAATAAGAATTAATTACTAGAAAATTAATTAATCGACAATTTACACAAAATTTTATTTTTATTAAATTGTCGAATAATTATGTTGGTTGTCTTCCATTTTTTTAGGGCAATATCGAAATTTTTAGTGCAAAAATGTTGCTTATTTTTAAGTATAGGATACTTTATACCATATACCATCAACAACACAATAAGAAACATTATAAAGCTCCCCAAAAACCGCCAACATATTTACTGGAACTAAAAGTTTCATCCTTTTCGCTTACAGCTGCCTGCCTGGTGCCATTTAGCCAGGCGGCAGGACCTGCCGGTCCCATGCCAGACAATGGCAAGAGGAGCAGTCGAGGCGGCAACAGCAGCAGCAGCCCATTGGGCGACTCGCAGCTCAGCGCCTCGGAGCGCAGTCGTCGCCTGATACCCTACATGGCCTTCTATCTGCCGGCACCAGAGCTGCCCATCAATCAGCAGTATGCCGCCAAGCATTCGGCGTCCGCTGGCGGGGCACAGCTGCAGGCGCCCTCAGTTGGACGTATACCCGTGCCGCTGGCCTACATGCCACAGCCGCATCATCAGCAGCAGCAACAACAACAGAAGCAGCATCTGCTGCATCATGCACATCCCCACCAGCATCCCCATCATCACCATGCGGCGTCGCACTATCAGTCGGGCGCAGGCGAGGTGTATCATGCCCTGGCCATAGGCAGCAGCCATCAGCATCCGCACCCGCACCCGCATCCACATGCTCCTCATCCGCCACCTGGCCAGGGCAAGGAGCTGACAGATTCGGGCGCCACTTTTATAGCCTACAAGCCATTGAACCCAACGCACAAGGCAAGTGGCAGGCAGCGGGCAGCAGGCAGCTCTACCGTTGTCTGTTGATTTGATTCCCATAGAGCATAAATAAGCGCATGAAAATAATCATGAAAATTCATAATTTACACACAGCACAAGACGGTGCAGCACTTTCCCCCATTGCCAGCACAGAAGGAGCAGCAGCAGCAGCAGGGCTATCCGCCACAGCAGCAGCAGCAGCAGCAGCCACAGTACGAGTTGCTATCGCCTGGTTTGGTGGCATCGTCACAGCAGCAGCAATACCATCATCGACAGCGGGCCAAACAATCAAAAATCAATTTAACACCGTTTACAGCGCAGAACACATTGCCGGGACAGTTTGTACCCATTATTTATACGCCAGTGAGCGCCGCCAACAACAACAACAATGACCAGCAGCAGCAGCAGCATAATGGCAATACCATCAATTACAACAACAAGCCAGAAATTGTCTACGAAGATGCAACGCCACATAAAAACTCCCATCAAACACAAATCGTTACGGATTATGCAGCATCAGCAGTTGCCTCAGCGGAGCAGCAATCTTCCGAGGAGCAGCAACAGCAGCAGCAACATGAAGAGCCCGTGGAGGAGCAGCAGCAGCAGCAGCAGCCAACACCAAGGTAAGATTTATTAGTCATAGAGTCTCTCCTCTCCGCTTCACTGTGTGAAAGTGTAGGCGGCCACAAGCACAGGAGCCCAAAGTGTAAGTCAGAGCAGCACTGCTTGCTCCCGCCACAGCCCACAGCCCCCACCCTGCCCCACAACTATTGCTTGCATTATCTCATTTGTGGGCTATGTTCTCACAGCCACGCCCTCAAGCCCAACACACCACCACACACACACACACACACACACACACACAGTCGTCGTGTTGTCTCGTGATACATGTTCATCATCAGCTACGCTCCGAGCTGCAGTTCGGATTGCAATTGCATGTAGAATACCAATTAAAAGTGTTGCCACTTTTGGGGGAGGGTGGGGGGTTGTTGTATGTCGTCAGGCGCCATAACCGAATCATGTCAATGGAAACACGCCGCAGAGTCCAATGCACTGCAGAGATACCCTAACAGCCAGCCAGCCATATGCCGCTGCCTTCATGCACTTTCCATACTTTCAACTGCAGCCTTAAAGTTGCAGAGGCTCTCGGACATGGGCAGGCAGGCAGGCAGCAGCATTATTGTGGCCGCAACAGACGAGACGATTCGCGTTCGAGTCGAGACGTTGCATGTGCAATGCCCTTGGGCAGAAAAATCAATTGCATTAAATGCAATGACTCAATCCACTAGCCAGCCTCCGTTCATTCTGTGTCCATCTTCGTGTGTGTGGAGACTCGGACGAAACTGACGCAAGATCGGGTGGGGGGCGCCCCAATTGCAGTTCGATGTACCGCATGCGGCGGTTGGTTGCCCATGGGCAAGAGGGGGGGAGGACGGCACACACACAGTGCCATTGTCCGATGGGTGCCTTATGTTCTTGTAGTAATTGTCAAATGGCAAATTCATGTCATAAGTAGCCGCCGGGCGCGGCTCTCAAAATCTGTCAGCCACAAAACGTACGAAAACGGTGGGTAGGGTGGGGAGAGTGGGGAATGGGTACGGGAAACATTCTTACAACCAACCAACCACAATGACATCACTCAAACCACCAACCATAACGCTTTGCCTGACCCATCCACAGCATTGGCATTGGCTATGGTGTCTACAGCGAAACAGCTGCCACATCCAACGCTGACGCCGCTGGCAGCGACACTGGTCCAGGTCCAGGTCCAGCCACATCCTCATTACCCGCCTCGAAAACCGCTCTGATAATCCATCAAAAATCGCCAGCATTTGGGGGGCATGTGAGCAAGTACGAGAGTTACTTCAACATGGCCCCACCATCAGCGTCCTCGAACGCTGGTAGCAACCATCATCCAAATCCAAATCAGAATCAGAATCCGAATCATGCGAATCATCAGCAGCATCACCATCATCAGAGTCAGGGGCAAATGACGCCCCAGGAGAAGTATGTGCTTTACTTACAACAACGCATGAAACACCAGAAACATCAGCAACACCAACAACAGCTGCAACAGCAGCAGCAACAGCAACAACACTACGACTTCCATCATCCGGCACGGCCAGCGCAAAGCAATACATTAGCTGGGAAGCCACACCCGCCATCGCCATCGCCATCACCACCACCACCACAACACACTGCTCATCAGCATCCCAATCAGCCATCCCACACCCAGACACAGTCACAGTCGAAGAGCAAACAGCCGCACAAGTACGATGCGTTGTATGTGCGTCCGGATGCTTCTGCGGGTCAACAGGTGCTGCACATTCCACTGCGTGCCCTCTTGGCCCATGTAAACGAACAGTCGCCGTCAGAGTCGCAGGCCCAGGCCCAGCAGCCGCGCCACCACGAGTTCGTTAAGGAAGCGCCGCTCGGGTAAGTGTCCACATTTTTGGGAGTAAGGAGAGAAGCAAACGAATGCTTCAAAGTTTCTCATTTGCCATCGCGAAGGTGGCAAGTCAAAGAATGGTAGCTGGTACATAATCTCAGAGTTTTTGCTTGCATCACCTATGGATAAGTGTTCCTTGGTGCTAGCGTGTGCCTATGGGCTTTCAGTTAAGATTTGAAACAGCTAAAATGAATTACTTATTGTGCTTGAAAATAATGGAATGTACTTCTGAATATTCAAATTAGTTCCCCAGCACCGCCACAATTCATAGACTACCTGATAGACGGGCCCAGGCAATCCTTGGACGAGGAGCAGCAGCAGCAGCAGCATCCACATGAACCGTCCCAGGCAGCGCCGCCTCATCTGCAGCATGCCTACATCCTGGTGACCACAACGGCACCGCATACGGATCACCAGGCGGCGGCTGGACCGAACCTTCAGCTGCATCCCGATATATCCACGCCGCGACCGGCGGTGCTCTACAAGCAGCAGCCAACGCTGCGGCTGCAGCCCGTGCACACCTACAAGGCCACCCGGCGACCCATCTACGTGACCACGCCCTCGCCCACGCCCAGTCACACGGTGGAGATCACGCCCAAGTATGTGTATGCGCCCAAGGCGGCGGCGGCGGCACCTCCTCCGCCCAGCCGAGAGCCTTCCACGGTGACGCCCATCAAGCTGAAGCCCGTCTACAAGTACGCCCACGAGCGTCCACCACTGACGCCTGCTGTTCAGGGACACCCCGCCGTCTATGATGACCAGCTGCCGGACATACGCACCTCGTCGCTGGCAGAGATCCTGCACAAGCTGCAGGCCAGCAACCACCTGCCACAGACACTGACACCGGACAACATTGACAACTCGATCAAGACGCTGATTCGCATACTGCAGAACCTCAAGCAGACCCAGACCATTGCCTCCAATCCGCCGCAGCATCACGACGAGACGAAGCACAGCAGTGCCTCCCACGAGGACTACGACTACAACACGGACAGCGGCGAGGATCACGCACCAGCCGCAGAAACGGACAAGGGACCAAGTGAGTGTGCCTCTGCAAGGCAATTCTCACTGCGGGGTCAAATTAAAGTGAATCATCGTCCCTTTCAGATAAACATCCTGGTCCGAGCACTGGACGGCCTGGCATCGATTATCCCAACTATGCGGTGATCCCACAGACCAGCTTCGAGTGCACCAATCAACGCTACAAGGGATTCTTCGGCGATCCAGAGACCAATTGCCAGGTGTGGCACTACTGCGATCTCAACGGGGGCAAGGCCTCCTTTCTGTGTCCCAATGGCACCATTTTCAGTCAGGTAAGCCAATTCAGAGCTAAAGGATGGGAATTCTAAGTTGAATTCTGCAAGTGTACGAGTGTCATATCTATTTTTACATCCCACATAAACAAAGTTCTTCCACCCTTTGAAATCCTTCACAGATTGCTCTCACCTGCGACTGGTGGTTCAATGTGAAATGCTCGACCACGGCACAGCTGTATGTGCTGAACGAGCGCCTCTACAAGTACATACTGCCCTTCAATCCGAAATTCCCCGAGGACTACAATGGACCCATTGTGGACAAGTAAGAGATGAGGGGAGGCAGGTTATATTTCATAGATTTAAATTCATAATTTCCCCCTGATTTTGTTGCAGATATTTGGCCATGAAGTTCCAGGAAATGGAGGAGAAGATGCGACAGGAGAAGCAGCGCAAGACAACCACGCAGCAGGCAGAGAAGCCCGTGGAGGCCCCATCCACGCCCGCCCTGCCCAAGAACCACAAGCCATCGCCCAAGCATGGCAGCGGCATCAATGCCCAGGTGTACGAGCAGAGCTCCGAGCGGAATCTGCTGATTGATGACGAGATCGATGACATCTCGGAGCGCGGCTCCTTCGATACCTTCGACCAGTCGCCCACCACTGTGATGTCCCCCACCAGCACTCAGGATGCGCAGCAATCGTTTGTGCTCAGGCCCATTGTTGTGTCGTCCACGCCGCAGCCAGAGGCCGATTTTGATGTGGAGCCGACGGCCCTGGAGAGCAGCGAGCACCAGGAACAGGAGGACAAGCTGCAGAGTCTGCGCGACACTAAGGCGGCGGAACAGAAGCAGGGTACCACCAGAGTGAGCGTGGAGAAGCTGGAGGTGATTGAGATCAAAACGGATGGCGACACGGGCCAGCTGATGCCCATCAAGGAGCCCGCTGAATGAGCGCATCGACTGGGTGGGCAGGGGGGTAGGGGAGTAGCGCAAGAGCTTGCCATATTTGTAATGAGAATGTTGTATGTTGTGTATGCCTTAAATTATTCTTAGCGAGCAAGTACTGTAAATAGCTAGCCGTAAACGTATGTATGTATGCCACACGCTGTATGCATATGCCGATGCAGACAGACCTATAGCAATAGTGAACTGAAATAAAATCTGACTAGTGAGTACTCACCGCCTGGCCGTTGTGGATGTTGCGCAGCGCCGAGTCTAGGGTGCTCTTGCAGGCTGGTATATCGGGTACAAAGCGGAGATTCTGCAAGACCAAAAAAAAAAAATCAAGAGATCAGCCGCTGGAGGCAGCAAGAAGGGAGGAAATTGTTGGGGAAGCTCACTATATCCGCCAGCGGCTGGACCTGGTGTCCCACGTGATGTCTGTCCACGCACTTGCGGCAGACGGTCATCTTGCAGAGCCGACAGTAGATGTTGCAGGCTATCTGGTGGATCTTGCAGCTAGTTTGGTAGGGCATGAGGAACTCATCATTGCCTACGCGGATGCGCTTGCGTGTATCAACGGCGCAATCTTTCAGGGACTTGAAGGCGTGCGCCTTCAGCACGCGACTGTTGTGGTGCACCGTCTCGAAGCAGCCCTTGCAGTACAAGGCACTGCACTGCTTGCACTCGCGCGTGGCCACGCTACTGATGCACTCGCAGCACTTTGACTTCAACGCTGGTGGGCTGACGTCAATTTTGTGAGTCGTCACTGCATTGTTGTTCACGACGACCTGTCGAAGGTGCTCCGTCGAGGAGCGGCGGATGTTTTCCAGTTCGGCCAACTCGCCCATCACATGGTAGTCCAGTTGGTACGGCAAGCCGGAGCTGCTTGTCAAATCCTGGGCGTTAATTGTCGGCAGCGCCGGCTCTGAGCAGACGGCGCACTGCAGGTTCAGGCCGCTCTCAAAGCAGTTCACCAAGCAGTTTTCGCACAGGTTGTGCCCGCAGGGCAGCAGGAAGGGACGGTGGTTTTCTGCCAAAAAGAAGCGAAAAATGTTTAGAAGATCAGCACAAAGAGAAACGACGCAAGTGCGTGTAACGGTTAATGTGCTGCCAGCTTAGCCTTTTTTCCGCTAACATGCTTAATTTTCTGTTTTTTGAGATAACAGGATAGGATATAGGGATATATTAAATATACTAATTAAGCAATGCAATGTTTTCATTTTATTTTGGCATATTCTTGAAAAATTCACTTCCAATTTTTTTCCCGCTAAAAAAGCGTATCACGCGGTTTTTTTCTTTTGCTTTTCCTTGCTATACTGAAACGAAAAAAAAATGAACGTATGTACATATGCTTGTACATACTTACACGCCTACGTTGCTGAATCACGAAATTCTGGAATGTTCTCCCACTGGAAATCTTGGTGCATATGTACATACATATATTTTGCAGCTATGCATGTACATATGTGCTCTAACATGCGTTTCAGATATCATTTGATTCAAACCTGCGAGTTATTTTCTGCAAGAAATCTCAATAGTTTGCCGTTTCTTGGCTAGACTTTTACCACTACGCAATCAGACGCTACACACACATGCCCATGGGCTCCAGGCAGTCCACACACGCACGCACACAAGCACGCTGATGAAATCAAAGCGTCTTCACTTTTGCACCTTTTCACTCACTACTTATTTAGTATTGAAACTAATCTTTTAGCTAGTTTACAGAAAAAACCTTACCGTCTCCATTTGTACTTTTGAGGGCAAAGTCGCCGTGACAATTTGGGCAGCCCAGCAATTTCTTCAAATGCACCGCCACAAATTGGCGATCAAAATGCTTCATACCGCTTTCGCCGGCCATCATCATGTGAAAACGAACACTAAACGTTTACTTGAGCAGCAATACTCGAGTTAATCAATTGTTTTTATATTGAAATTAGCAACAAAATCGAAAAGTACCAAAACGAAGCGCACACAGAAATTTGCGAAATAACCGCACTTTTGTAGTAGGTGCCAGGGCAGAAAAACCAGGGCAAAAACGAGACTTAGCCCACTAAAGACCTCTTTATTTAAAAAGTCGAGCACCCTTTATTAAACCGCGGAAAAAAATACTTTTTGATTAGGATCCTTGTAGCTCCATCCTCTTCTATACTTACAAAACAAAAATGACCACCGTAATCTTTCACCTGTAATGCGTAAAATATGTTAAAGTAACATAAATTTCGTGGATATATTAAATACCCCCTCGGATGACAATGGGTTAACATTCTATTTTATTGATTGATTCCATGATTCCATGATTTTGATATTCCGTTTGATATTATTAGCTAGTTGGCCCTCTCAGCCCTAAACATATAATTTTATGCAATTCCTTAATAAATTTTGTTCAGTATTGGCTAGTTTTCAGAACTCTTTTTTGTTGCATTGTTTACATAATAAGTTTCAAATAATAGCGGCCAAAGTATATAACGTAAATGTTGACTAAATGTGACGTCAGTGTTGCTGGTCAACCAAGTTACTTTTAAGCGTATGTACTTTGGTATACCTTATTTCCTTTAATTGATGTTAAATGTTTTGTTCCAAGCTCCATTGAAACATTATTTATGATTTTATCCTAGATTGACATGTTTTTTACCTATTATTCAGAATATCCCTCCACAAAATGTTGATATCTTGACATTGCGCATTTTGTTAACCCTTTTTGCGACTGCTGCACAGGAAAACTTTTAGCTTGTTTACACTTGTTCCTTCCTGCCGGCTGCGCAGGTTTTATTTACTTTGGATGAGCAGGCGACAGCAAATGGAGCAGCATCAAGGGAATACGAGGCAGGGCACGCATAAGTTACCGATGATCCCACAGTATCACAGAATATCTGTAGAATTATTCAACGCGAATTTTCTAACATGCAAAACGAAAATTTCTCTCTACAAATACTTTTAAACTAAACTAGTGCTAGCGGCGGTTGGATCATTCCCGGCTGCGGCGGTTGGTATCGTCCTGGATGATGCGGCTGGAGTCGTTGTCCTGGCTGCTCACGTTGGAATCGTCCTGGCTGATTTGGTTGGAGACGCCGTGACTGCTGTCGTTGGGTCCGTCCAGACTGCGGCGGGTTACATCTATCTGCAGATTGCGGCGGGCGCGGCGGTGGCGGCGGTCGCGGCGGTTTTGGCGGCGGCGGTCTACATCTAAGTGCAGATTGCGGAGTATGGTGGGGATGTCGGGCGACTCCAGCTGGAAGCGACACAAGGGACACGAGTTGGCCTGCAGGCATAGGATCGTATAATTAATGTTCCACAAATGTGAAATGCAAGGGGAATGGTGCCCAACGATTGATTACCTCCGTCAGCCAATGGATGAGACACGGCTCGTGGAATTCGTGCTTGCACGGCATAATCTTCAATACGTCACCCACCTGGAGAGGCTCTTTGCACACGGAGCACTCCTTCTGGACGTCCACCAGCTCCGATTGCTGCACCGTGCGAACGGTCAGAGCAGCAACGACTTCATCGGAGGCCTTTGGTTCTAAGTTATGTACATTCATGATGGCCATCGCGAACAAGTGCCACGGCACGTTGGAGAAGTCGGACATGACTGCACTGGCTCGTGTCTTAACCAAAAAAAAAGCTGTAGTTCGTAAATGATTACGATCCGTGTACAAATGTTTGATCCCTGTGGACCTGTGTGTGACAGTGTGACACTTTAATGGAAGGTTGCTACACGAGCACTAGGTGCAGGCCACATTTCTGTCACTGGGAGATTCCACAGCATCCTTGTATTCCATTGTCCCCAACCATTAAAAAGTGAGCCTGTACCATTGCATATCTTTATTATATTTGTAACCAGAATTTCCCTCAAACCAAATGACAATTTCTTTTAAATGTAAATGCAGCCACTGTTCACACCCGCTAACCAAACATGGAATTCATGAGGTTATCCTGGCGCTCACGGCGGTTGGACTCGTCCTGCTTGAAGCGGCGCAGCTCCTCATATACCGCATCGTCGGTCTCCAGCTCGAAGCGGCACAGGGGACACGAGTTGGCCTGCAGTTGGAGGATCGCAATAAGTACTAGAATAAATGGGAATACCCAGCAATTACCTTCTTCAGCCAGAGGAGAACGCAGTCCTCGTGAAACTCGTGCTTGCACGGCAGTATCTTGTACACCTCTCCCACCTGGGCCGGCTCCTTGCACACAGCACACTCCAGATCGCCACCCACCTCGGACTCCAGCACCGTGTGCACTGGCAGTGCAGCAATGGCTTGCTTGGAGGCCTCCGGCACCTCTATATCGATGTCGATGCCATTCATGATGGCCAGCACCTGCAGGCGGCGATAGTGCTTCGCAAAGTCATTGGCACCCTCCGGACCGGTGGGCGTGTGGCCCAGCTCCTCAAAGTAGTCGGACATGGCTGCAAAAATGTTTTCAATAAACGCAAGTTGAGACAGTTTGACAGGACACTCGTAGGGAACCCAAAAAATGCAAATATTTATTTTGAAATTTTCACATATTCTCTCCGTATACAGTGGGAAGCGGGTGATCTGGGTGATCCCCAGACCACCAGTCGTTCTGGTTCTGCTTTTATAATTTGTTCGATTAAATAATCGTATAATTGTTAAGTATCTAAGAGGTCTTTGCATTTAAAATGTTTAATTTTAGATATTCTAGAGCTAGTTTTCGAAACTCGTTTCAACAATTTAAAATTTATAAAGTCTAAAGTTACAGGCATATACTGGCTTCCCCTGTGGAAGAGACTCACACAATTTACTGGACTCACTCTACTGCAACTATCAAACGAATTATGAGATAGGTAGATATGGGAGCTGCCCAAGGGGGTGTAAGGAACAATGCAAAGATACAAAAAAATAAGAGCAGGAAGATGGGTGGCGGTTAAATTTGCAGCAAGAAGTTTGAGGGGGAATGTGCCACTATCTTTAAATCCAATTTCCAGTTTTACTTCCAGCTGCTGGTCAGACCGAATAAAACACACAAAATTTAAATTTCTTTTTTCGTTTCTTGTTTTTTGTTTTTTTTTTGTGTGATTTTCTCTTTACTAAATGATTTTTGCTTATTATTTTTTTGTTTTTTAATAATATTCAGTGTTCTAAAGTTATTGGGGGGGGGGGGATTTACTTTACGGTACTTCATCGTAGTTACAGAGCTTGAATTATATAATGTATGTATTACGCTTTAGACTAAGGATAGTTAGACGAAGACTGGCCGCCACAACTGTGCCTGGTTGTTGGTTGGTTGGGTTGGCTGCTGCCTTACTGGTTGTTTCTCTTAGAGTTTAGTGTTGCATCTGTTGCATTAGGCTTAACGACTAAATGGTGCTTGCAGGATTCGTAGAGTAGAGTAGAGTACGAGGGCGTACGCAAAGGGGAAGAGTAAAACAAAAAACAAGACTTAGGCGCTAGGCTTTACAAATTAGTGTTTACGATTGCTAGAGAATAAATTAGAGGCGCCTTGGGTTGGTGGTGGGTGGGGAGTTTTGTGGGTGGCAGGGCTGGAGCGGGATCGGGGGCATTGGGGGGCATAATCGAAAACAGATTTATATATATACAGAGCGGGCTGGGGGGCAGGGTGGGGACGGTTGGGCGCGCTACTTAAAGACGAACGAAACGAAAACGAATAAGTACACGGTTCTTGAATTATTTTAGCTACTTTAGCAGAGTAGGGGGAGGTAGGGAGAGCTCTAGGAGCGGGCGTACACATGGAGTAATTACAATGCGCATTAGATATACATATACATACATATACATACATATACGTATACATATATATATATATATATATATATAGAGGGTATATAAAGACGATACACATGTGTATACATCGATAAATTTCTATAGTAAAACGATCGGCTCGCGTTAACATCTATCACTAGCATGTACAGTTAGTTCTAGTCTAGTGCTAAAAGCAGCAACGGTCCACTCCTGGTTAGCCCTCTGGCCGTACGTATCAGACTGGCGCTTGATTGGGGGCGGGGGCGGGGGTGGTGTGGCGGTGTTTGTGGCGAGGATTGCGTGTTGTGGGTTGAGGGATGGAGCGAACGGTAGGAGCTGGGTGTAGAGCTGGATTTAAGGCACTGGGCCGCCGGACAGCCCGTCCTTGTCCTAGTCCTAGTCCGTGATGGATATCTGCGCATAGCCGACCAGCGAGCGCTCGTCGGGCACCTCGCCGGGCTGGACGCCCGAGCTCAGCTGGAACGTGATCGTCTTCATGGTGGCACACTGGGCTATCAGCTGGTCCAGATGCTGGGCCATCGGCTGTGTGTCCAGGGCGTCCACTAGGCCGGCATCCACCAGTTCGGTGGCAATGCCCTCGGCCGTGTCCTTGCCCACCATGAACTCGAAGCGAATGTCGTGCAGCTCGCGGCGCAGATTGCGCATACGCAGCACCAGATTGACGGGCGGTGCCTCCTCGCCGCCCCGCTCTTCGCTGGGCAGGGGCATCTGGGCCAGGCCCGCCGTCACCTCCTGGGTGCTGCTGCTGGCGGCGGCGGCGGCTGCAGCAGCGGCGCTGGCGGCATTCACAGCACCTGCTGCGGCCGTTCCGGGCGTGACTGTTGTCGAGGAGACGCTGTGCGTGATCTCGGGCGAGGGATCCTCTCGATCGCTGTCCGAGGAGTCGGCCCGCTCCAGTCGGTTCATGGGCCGATCCTCCGAATCAGAGTCCGAGGAGGGATGCTTGCGACCGCCGCTGGTGCCGCCGTTGTCCTCCTCCTCGCTGGACCACACCCACTCGCCGGTGACGGTGCGGTGGAGGCGACCGGAGGCGCCCGGCTGACGCTTGGCCGCCTTGTGCACTCGCGTCTCCATGCTGGGGCCGGTCTGGAGCAGCGTCTGGGTGAGGTACTTGCGGTCCTTGGCCTTCTTGAAGAAGGCGTGCTTCAGCAGCTCGCTGGCAGTGGGCCGTTTCGAGGGCTCCTTCTGGAGGCACTCGACGATCATCTTGCGGAATGTCTTGCCATAGGCCTTGTACTGGTCCTTGTCATCGGCGCCCGTGTCCAGGGTGGGCGGATCGTTCTGCAGCGTCAGCATGAGCACCTTCATCGGCGGGTACTTGTGATACGGCGCCGTTCCGGTGGCCATCTCAATGGCCGTGATCCCAAACGACCAGATGTCCGCCTTGAAGTCGTAGCCATGGTCCTGCTCCATCACCTCCGGGGCCATCCAGCAGGGGGTGCCCACGAAGGTGTGGCGCACCTTCTGGCGCGACAGATCCCGGCCCGTGGCCAGCCAGGCGCTCACACCGAAATCGGCTATCTGGATGGTGCCGTCGTCGCCGATCAGGATGTTACCCGCCTTGATGTCGCGATGGATCTGCCCGTTGGAGTGGAAATACTCCAGGCCCTTGAGCACCTCCTTCAGCACCGTGGCAATGGTGGCCTCATCGAAGACGCCCGGCTTGCAGTTGGACGTCCGCATCTTGTGCTTGATGATATCCAGCAGGGAGCCGCCCTCCAGCAGGCGCAGCACCAGCCACAGCTCCTCGCGCACCACAAACGATGTGTGGTAGGTGACCACGTTCTCGTGGTTGCACGACGACATCGCCTGGATCTCCTTGAGCAGCTCGTCCATCGACGTGTTCCACTTCTCCAGATTGATCCGCTTAATGGCGCACTTCTCGTTGCGCGGTATGCAGTAGGCGCCATGCACCACCGCTGTCGCCCCCACACCGATCACGTCCCGCAGCTCGTAGTCGTCCTTGGAGTTGGGCCACGGCTGCTTCTCGGGCACATTGGCCGCTCCAGCGGCGGCGGCCACATTGTTGCTGGACAGGGTGGCGGGTATGGAGGTCATGCTCTTGGCGGTGCCGGCGGCGTGCGGTGGTGGTGTGCCTGGACGTCTGCGGGGCTGCTGTGATATCGCCGGTTGGCTCTGCGACCGCTGCTGTGGATGTGGCTGCCTGGCTCTGGGTTTTGGTTGCTTACTGATCACGAAACTGTCTCTCTTTTGGTCAGACGGTTTCTCCTTCTCCTGCCTGGGATGGAATTCCTCGTCCTGCTGCCGATAGATGGATGGATATCCTGCGGCTAGGCTTACGCTGGATCGTTTCTGCTCCTGCTGCACGTTGTAGCTGCCCGAATGGGAACTTTCTCTGACGACTCCTGGCTGCGGCTGTTCCTGCTCCTGCTGCTGTTCACGCTCCTCCTCCTCCTGGCGCTGCTGCTGCTCCTTCTTCTTGGCAAAGCAACCAAATATGCGGCTATCTCTGGGATCTGCAACTGATTCGTTTGCTCCCGCACTTGGTTTGCTATCGCCGAAGCTCTCGTTGTTGTTGTTGTTGTTGTTGGCGATGTGCGCAACCTCTGCAATAGAGCAAAGAGTAGATTTCGGGTAAAGTTTGGGCCTTGCCTTTTGGTTATCGTCAACAAAGTCTACAAGTTAAACGAACTCTACAATATTTCCGCAACATTTCATGGGTTAAAATGTGGGCAACAGAGCGAGTCAGAGGTGGGGTGGGGTTGGGTTGGAATGGGATGCATTCCAAGTGCATGCGATAGAAAGAGAAGCCGAAATCGATACTGAAATTGGTTGAAATTTTGATTGTTTTCGTAGTTGGTTTTTTTTGGGCGAGGGAAAGTATTATTCAGGGCCCATTCCATGGGATGGGTCTCTTAGTCATGTGTTCAGGCACAGGATGATTCAGTGCATAATCTATGAGTGGGTTCTATTAGCCATAACCAAATGCACAATAATCGTACTTAAAATTAAATCTGTTTAATCTGATTACAAAAATTCGGAAATTGTGTGGACTTTTTCGAAATAGATCAACATTTTTTTTCTATTATAATTGTTTTGTGTGCAAATCGAGCACGAAATTTTTCGATGGGGGGAATTACCCGCACGTTTTGGCACAATAAATAACATGTCCACTCGTTCACCCGCCGCCCCTCCCTCCATCAGTCAGCCACTGATATGCTAAATTTTTCCACGTTTCGCTGATAAGGTTTCGCGTTTTATGAATAAACGCTGCGCTGCTCCCAACGAGACACGACACCAGTGTGCACATTATTCTGGCCCACGACTGTTCGCTTGGCGATCGGCTCGGTCCATGTAGCATAAAAAGCGTTTTACTCGCGCTGAATGTGGGGAATGCCGGAGAGCCGGGGAGGTGAGCGCGCGGGACCAATGACCGCATTGAGCTATAAATAGCAGCAGCAGCAGCAGCAGCAGCAAGCAGCAACAACAACAACAGTAACAGTAACGTGTGGAAACCGTAATTAGCTTTCAGCTAAAATGTTTATAATAATGATATTGTTCCACTTAGTCGCTGGAGTGTACTACTCTGTAGCCGCATAATGTAATCAAAATTTGAGATAAGGCCTGCCCCGAAATTGCCTATATGCACGATTAACTTGGAAGAAAAACCCAATTTATTTCGACTATATGATACCTGCTAATTGGATTTATTTGATTTAATTTTAATTTTAAAAGAAAGAAAGATCACTCTCACATAGAACTCAAGTTTGGACTTTGGACAATAGAATTATAGTCTTTTGAAGAATTTACTCTTTCTATAGTTGACGTTGCGAGTAGCACAGGCACAGATATGTCGCCTCCTCTCCTTTTCAAGTATCAATGGGTAGCAAATTGCTGCAACTAAAATTCCAAGAAGATATCTATGACAAGGCGAAAAGTGCGATAAAGCCTCCCTCCTCCAGTTATCGGACGTGTCATGTGCCGGGGTCCGGGTCCGTGTCCGGGCCTGGCACTTAATTAAAACCGAAATCAGCTAGGCAAACAGCAATTTGTTATTATACATAGATACTACACACATACACACTACTCGTACTATATATTTTTTGGGGCTAACTGAATTTCACAATTTAACACTTTTGGGGTGGACCGTATTCTAATGGGAAACTCAAATAAAATAAAATGCGAAGCAGCGGTATAAAAAATGTTTACACAACAAACAAAACGGCAGAAAAGGGAACGGGAGACGAAGACAAAGAGTACAGGAAACGACAGAACAGAGTCCCAACAAAAAAACAAAAACAAAACACTTGGCAACAGTCATTAGGGCAGGGGAGGGAGTGGAGCGGAGCGGAGACCTGTGGCTGCTAATTTAAGCAAAAAGCAAACACAAATATTTCTAAGTAAAATGTTGCCAAAGAGGCGCCTAGAAAATGTCAAAATAAATCAATATCAAAACCCAAACCAGAAACATCAGGCTACCAAGGGTTTGTGGGTCGAAGCATTTGATACCCTTGCAGATCGATCTTTTTAAAATTAAACTTTCCACAAGAATTTCAAACAATTTTTTGTCATTTAAGCGATATATAAAAACTTTCTGTGCATACTTTATGTGAAAATAATTATACTCCCAACAAGGGTATAGTGAGGAAGAGATGGCGACAAACCAAAGGAGGATGGTGGGAAGAGAGCAGAGCACAGCACACCAGCAAAGAGATGGAGAGGGAGCAAGTGAGGTGGTGCAGTCACACGATCATGTGCAAATGATAAGCACAAGTCTGCGTTGTCACACGACCACCAACACGTATGTATAGTGGAAAAAAATTGATTTCGTTTCATCACACACACACACAAAAACTTTCACACACTGGCGGAGAGTTCAATAAATTTTCATTTCTGTTTTTATTGATTTCACGCAAAAGAAATCAAAACAATTTACGCAAAATTATGAAGAAACCGTTACATTGTGTTTGGTGTTGTTCTTTGCCTCCTCTTCTGCTGCTTCTTGTGCCTCCTTCTCGACGCACGCGCGCGTTTTCTTCGTCTTCTTCGGCTGCTGCCGTTTCGTTCGGTTCGGTTCAGTCGCTCGTTTCACGCGATTTCGACGCGTTTTCAACCAACGCCGCGCAACAACTGTGCTTTTGCTCGAAGCGGCAGCAACGCTCAACGTCCACAAACGTCAGCGACGGCGACGCGTAACAAGTGCGCCAACGGCCTGATTGGCAGGGAGGGCCGCCACAGCGGACAGCGGGGGCAGGTGATGGCAAGGGGCAACAGCAACAACAACAACAACAACAAACAAGCATTCGTTAGAAAATACAAAAATAAATGTATTGAGCATTGAGCATGTATTGAGGCGAAGAAGAGTGAGAGAGAAACCAAAAAGAGAGAGCGAGCGGGCGAGTGAGAGCACAGCGGTTAATAGTCCGCACAGTGGGTAGAATTATGCAAAATGTTGTGGGGCTTTAAACAAGTGATTTTAATGGGCGTCCGTTTCCTTAGTTTGAATGGACTGAATTATTACAAAATTAAATAATAATCGCTAATTCATTTTAATTTTTTTAAATAAAATATATTGTTGTTCATTTATTAATTAAGAAGTTTTAAATAATACAATATTTCGCTAATACTTGCTGTGATAGTAATTAAGTTTTACGATACAATAAAATACGATATTTTCTTTGAAATTTCTATGTCACAACATTTGACTTTCATGCCCATTGAAAATTGTACCATTTACAGGGTTTTATTTTCTCTTTGCCTTTGGTTATTCTTTCCACTTTTTTGTGTACTCAGATTTTATCAGCACTGACGCGCACGATAAGTGAAAAACGTTTCCAGCAACAACAAGCGGGAACAATTAGCAACAATAAAGAGTACAAAAAAAAAAATAAAAAAACTAGAGCATAGATACAACTGACGTATTTTCTATACCGCACCCAGACCAGACCCCAAATGGATTCCAGCCCGAGTCCAATCTCGCTGTCCATCCCCTTCTCCACTTGGTTATCTCTCTGTGGGTTGGATAATATACTAATTGTTTCATTGGGTGGTAGGCAGGGAGGGAGGGTTGAGGGAACGAGTTGAGGGAAGCCCAAAAAAATACGTTCGTAAAGCCATCATGGAAATTTTCTAAATTGCATTCACAAAACCCGCAGAGTAGACCTCAAAATGGGGGGAAAGTCAGACACCGGCCATATGGAAATATGTCTAATGTACAGATATACATAGTAGTATATATTGATATATACATACATCGTATTTCTTCAGACTGTATTGTATGTATTCTGTTTTGTAGAGAAATTATAGGATCAGTAGTCTGCATTGGCCATGGCGTGAAATTCTTTTCTGCTGTGCATGAAAATTCGCCATCGTTGGACCCGAAGACTTATAAAAATAAAATTCGCACACAACACGCAGCCAGACACACACACACACACACACATTTTCCCATTTTTGCGTGGCGGCTCTATTTATAGATCACCTCCCCTCTCCCATTGCCGTTTGCATATCATTTCCAATGCAGTTCGGCCATGGCAGACTATCGTCACAGGGGTGGTGTGTGTTGGAAGAAGGAGGGAGGCTGGGGGCTGGAAAAGGTGAACGTCATCAGCGCTATGCGTACGTAAATCTCTATGTGTGAGTATAAAATGGATTGAATCGGAATTGGAATTAGCATGTCCACGAATTGAATACTCTTCTTTGTGATTATATGTTATCTACATCCAAGAGAAACCTTCTTCTTTGGGCAGTTATTCCCCCCTCGCATTCGACAACTGTTTGTTCCTCGCTTCTTCGACACTCTCTGAGCGAATCCCTCTCTCCAACGCGAGTACAGCATTTAAATGAGAAGATAACTGAGGCAGTAAAGTAACGAAGATCATGCACTGAGAATAATTAATGGAATGTAAATCGGATTAAATCAAAGCTTACAGACATTAATGACTTTTTAGTAACGGAAGTAATGCACATTAAACTTGAACAATCTACCAAATTGAGAAGGTGACTCATATATGTATGTACATACATATGTTTGTATACTTGATCCACTTGTCTCGCGGGGAGAAGGGACTTCAGTATCAGTATACGCTCTCGTCTATAAATTTATTTTATACCCACTTAAAGCAAATAATTTAAGCAATTTAACTTAGATAATCTAATACACGAAGACACCTTAGCAAATTTATTGCCCTTAAATCACGGAAAAGTATACGAAAAATAAATAATGTCATTTGCGATTTGAATTTACAAATTTCGACAGCTTCATAATAGTAGATGAAACGAAATAAATTATATTACGCATATGTTTCTTTAATTAATTGTTATTGTAATTAATTTTATAGCAAATTATGATTTTAATATTGACACTTTAACGAGCTTGAACTTTGCATGGCATGGCAGTTGCATACAAACAATATCATAAAATATTAATTGTTGACACAATTTACACTGTAATCGGCCAGCTAAGAATGATATATACTCATCACATATGTTTTGATATTACATACACATATATTGTGCATATACGAGTGCCGGGTCGTGCCAAGTTCCCAAGTGGCGGTTTGTTTCGATTAGATCTCTCTGGTTTTGCCTGCTTGCGACTTTTCAGCAGTTTTCGTGTGGAAGAATAATTGATTATCTGGCTTTGCATTTAGTTGCTGCAATTTCGGCACAGCTTTATGCACTGACATTGATTAATGCATTATGAAAGTGAATTAAGATTTTTGTATGTCTCGTCTTGGCATTACATTTTATATTTTTTAACGATCAATCAAAGATTTCAAGAAGTATATAATTAAATGCATACAATACAAATTTTCGAATGGGGAGCCAGGACACTTGGAAAGAAAGTCCACGCACGGATAATAATTTTCTATCGTTTAATCGACGTCAGTGTGTAGCTCAAGAAAATAATATCGAGGCGAATTCGTAGTATCTTTTTTTTACAGTACAAATTCACTAAATCACTAAATAAAATGCACTAAATCAATTTTGAATTCTATTTTTTATGGTTTTCCAAGTTGATTTATTTATATAATTTATTTGAAATGTTGAATATTTTTCCACTTTTTATTGACATTTTTATTATCGGATCACAACAATAATTTTAAAATTTAATTATCCTTAGTTGGGGGTATTTTTATAAATCACTGTCATTCAGAGGACGCGTTTTGCCAACAATTCCCCTAAACGGGCCCACAAGTCCTGGTACTCCACACTCCCCTTCACCTACATAAAATCTATCTATATCCAGGGTATCATTAATTTTGATATTTACGGTAGATATTTGGGGCTTATAAAATGACAAATGCGGGTCATATAAGAAATAAATTTGAGTTTGGCGATAACATGAAATTCAAATTAGTTTAGTCACACAATGGAAATTTGTGCTCGGTTTTTTCCACCAAAATGGTAGCTTAAATATTGTGAATTTTCATAAATAAATCAAATGAAATTGCAAAACCCACTATGTTTAAGGCACATCAAATTGAGTAGCTGCATTTTGCCGTGTCTACGAACTTTGTCACACTTTATTAAAAGTTTCAAAAATTTATGTATTTTTCACGATTTTGAGATTTGAGATTTCTTTTGTTTCCTCACACTTAAGGACACTTGAGGAGGAGACACTTAAGGACACCTCCCCAGCGGCTATCAACTTGCGATTGCGATTGATTGATTGTCGAACTGAGATAGAGATTCGATCCGAATGCAATTCAGAATCGCATTGCTCACGATCAGACGGCAGACGGCGGACAGCGGCGGTCGCTCCTCCAGCGCGCAAATCACAATTTCGACTGAACTTCACAAATCGTTGTAATCAAACATTTAAAATGAACATTTTTTTTTTCGTTAAGCAATAAACAACAATAAAAATTAAATGAGCTCTACAAATGGCGGAACACGACGAAAACAGCAACAATAACAGTCATAACGATCCATAGCGACGAGGACGGACGCGTCGAGACGGTGGGCAGAGGGGGGGATGGTGACGATCGACGGAACCTGTGCAAAATGTGCGAAATTTTGCCGCCTCCATTGTCGGGCTTGCGTTGGCGTTGGAATTATTTAGTTAGTAGTAGTAATTCCCTGTCTATATCTGTATCTGTATCTCTGGCTCTATCTGTAACTGTATCCGTATCTGTTGCGGCGGCTGCTTTATAGCTAAAGCTCGGCTGTCCGCCCATTAAGTAATATGAATGAGTGATTGACTTTGATTTCGTAGTGAAATTCGTAATATTTATTTGCATATGGTTCCAGTTCTAGTTCAGAGATCCCCTCCAATTTCTAGCTATTTTTGCGCCCAAATGCCGATATAATTAAAGTTTCATTTTCGATTTATTTATTCAGTTATCGAAGCCACATACACAAACGAAGTTACGTTGATGGTTTCGGCGAAGATTTAACTTCTATCTCTGGCGGTACATCTCAGAGGGAACAATCGTACAGCTGGACGATGTTTTACTGGGATCCGAGACATTTTGCATGACGCTGTCGGTGTCCTGCAGGTGAATATTTCGATCGTACAGCTTTTTGAACCACTGTGCAAAATCCAAGTTCTCCCGACGGCCACCGACAATCATCCTGCCTATCTGAATGTCCTTTTCCAAGCCCACCTTGTGCAGGGCCCGCTGCAGCAAAATTAAGTTTGACTGGAAGTCCGACTGGAGCCGTGAACCATATTTCACCTTCTTAAGGTTGATGATGCCAGGGCGGAGTTGGTTAAATAGCCGACAGTACTCAGCACCGGATCCCAAAGCCTCCAGCTCCTTGATCTTGATGTTAAGGGCATTATTTACCCACTTTATGATCTCCTTACGGGACAAATTCTGCGAAGGATTTGAGTTCCTGGTGTGGTACACGTTCTGCATGGCGTTCCCCTCTTTGTTCAGCAAATTTGGAAACACAAAAAGTACCTGAGTCTGCTATATGTAAAATCTAACAAAATATTTGGCTGTTTTCCCGGAAATTGTATTAAGATTATTAGATTTCTAATATTTTATTTGACATTTGACGCCTTAGCTACTTTTACGGAATTTATTTGGGATATTTTTAATGTTATATTATTTTTTATATAATTTTTTTTTTTTAGCAGTTTTGTGATTCCCTCTCCCTGGTAAGCCTTAACCCTACCTTATGCCATATTAACCCACGTTTTAATAGCCACTGTAATCAAGTTTTTTCTTATTGAAAGGCATGCGCACTTAACGCATGTTTTTATTGCCTTAACAATTAGAGGAAATGTATTTTTAAATTCTTGTTTATAGTTCAAGTTGCTTTCTTTTTTCGTTTCCCTTTTATTTTTTTTGTTTGTATTCGCCTTTTCGAAGGGGGATTTATTGTATCCAGGTTAACACAAAAGCGAATAAGCAAAATGTGTGATATTTGTCAGGCTGTGCAAATTGTATCTGTATATATGTACATACGCATATACGTATATCTGTATTCGTGGGAGGTTACATTTTATGCGCACCGGCAACACGAGTCAAGTGATCGAACGCCCTCAAAAATTTTGACACACAAAAGACCGAAAGCCCCCAGATTTAATTAGCGCTCGATGTTATATGACACGTGTGTGTGGGCGGGCCAAAGGTTGAGGGTGTTGTGCTCCTTCTGGCACCTCCGATGTTTCAGTTTCAAGGCCCCTAATCCATCGAATTTTGTCAAATTTTCGCTTGCGTGACGTCGGCGACATCAAAATGTGGGACAAAACTTATGAATGAGAAAAAGTACAACTAGAATGAACTGAACCGCACTGCGATAGTAAAAACTAGAACTTAGAAGTACAGACAGCAAATTAACTATTTTTTCATTATTTGGGCTTAATTTTGTTTTAATCAATGTAGAATTTGGTGCAAAACAGCCTTGGGATTCTCAAAAAACCTCATACCCACAAATGTACGACAATTAACGACAGCCTTGTCAGGAATACATCATACGCTTGTGGTCCATTTAAAATACACGAGTTTCGTGAGGTTCATGAAACTTTATACATTTTGTATAAACAAAAGGAAGTAATATGTATTACTTATGCGAAAAATGCCAAAAAAAAATATATGCCATATGCCAAAATTATAGCTCACATGTTCAGTTCAATTTGCTGGTCAAGATTTCATGTGATCTTTCGCTCTGTCTGTCTCTATCTGTCAAGGCAAGGACAACTGCCTGGCCTGGGTCTTTTGCACTCGCAAAATGTTTGCAAAAAACAAATGAAAAATACACCATAATAAATAAATCAATATTCTTGAAAGCTAAATGTTATACAGGGTTCGAGGGTAACTCAGTTCAATGGCTGCGTAAATGTGCAGGAAATACATTTTTTTGTGGCTGAGATATGACAAAAATAATAATTATTCGAGATTTGTCTATCGCTTGGAAATCTTCAATTTGGTTTAAATCAGAAATATAAAGAGAGGAAAATAATATTGAAATTAAAATTGATTAATTTTGAGTTGGTTCTTGTTCTGTTTCTGATGTACTATTGATGTATGATTTTTGTAGTGACAAAATTAATCTATGATATATTTTTCTGAGAAATAAAATGAAATATTTTGTGAAGATTTTACTGTAAATCATATGCAATGTTTTATAATTTATTATAATCGAATATAAACCGTATAATTCATACGATATTAACCAGTGTTCCTTCTATATATACACATATCCAATTCCACTTTGAACATGAGCATACAACGGCTCACAGCCCAACTCAATTATACAATATTTGTTATACAATACAGGCTAACCTTGCCACAAATCACACACAACCGGGGCACGTACGTACGTATACGTACTTCTCGTTCAGATATCTCTGTACTGTCCGTCCCTCAATATGCAAAAATAATCGTTAAGCCCGCGCGACGCGCGAGAGATGACAATGCCTAAAAATAGCAATCGCAATTGAAATGTCGGTCCATATTAAGCACGGGAGCCCAGTTATTCTCGGTTTTGGTTTTGGTTTCTTTCTTCTCTCTCTCGCTGTCTTTTGTTATTTTGTGGCTAAATTTAAAACATTAAACGTCACGTTGAGTGGGTAGGAAATGGAGCACACAATGCTGTAGTGATCGTACAATGCAATGGGTGGGGGGGTTTTAGCTATGTCGATCAGCCCTCTCCCTCCTACAGACAGACAGACAGACAGCGGAGGGTCTCCTGCCTGTGCAGAAACTGTAAATTACAAGCAAACAATACAAGTTCAAAGTCAAACAAAATACCCGAGAGAGAGAGAGGGAGAACGTAAATGTCTGTCTGTCTGTCTGTCAGCAGACCCCTCAATTTAGTCGCCTGAGGGGATGGATGATGCTGCTGCTGCTGCCTGCCTGCTGCTGAATGTTGACGATCCTCAAACATGATCATTATGTCAATTTGTTGTTGTTTTTCCGCTCTACCGAGCATGCAAACAAATTAAGACTGAGGGCGGCGCCGTGCCTCGGAATAGCGACTAGCGAAATTTAATTAGCATTGGCCCCACTGTACGAATCGCTGTCTCTGTCTCTGTTACGGTCTGGTCTCATGCCCTCCCACACATTTCCGCGTGCTAGCAGTGAGGCAAATTGAGCGATTAGCGCCGAGCAGAACGTGACCCACCAGATACTCCCCTTGTCTACCCCTTTCCACCCCCACCCATCACCTATCTCAATGTAATTTCGATTTTAGATCAACATTTAGATTGGACTTTTGTGCAATGCAATTTAGTTTAATGCGTTTTGTCGTCTAGCCCCATGAGCAGCGTCCCGACCCGATCAGGGCCCGTCCCGACCCGTCCCCATCGAAGCGTGTTCTTTTGATGACTTTAGAATATTCCCACATACCGATGACTAATTAGTGTTGATTTACATTTTTACTATAAACACTACAATTTGCTTTACAAAATTGATTGCGGGGAATCATTTTTAAACTCTTTTAAACTCTTTTAATCTGGGGTAGAATTTATAAATGCTTTTGAAAAAAAAAAAGCTTGGAGAACAAAACAGTTTAATTCGCTTCTCAGGTCAGGTACCAGTTTGCAGAATGTGGATCATAGCTATTCCCAGAGTGAGAGGAAACATTTACCTGACCCACGCCCCAATACAATTTTAAATCGTTCCAATTTATGCTCATTAAAATTGATTCTTAGGTAAGCTTAAATTTGGATTCTGTCAAAATAAATCTAGTTAAACTATGCGAAATGAGAACAATTTTTTTGTTAGTATAAATTAAAGAAGGCAGAGAAATAGGAGGTATTAATAAAAAAGATTAATGCTGGTTTTGGAAAAACTTTTTATTGAATAATTAAAAATATGGCAATATGAAAATATTTTTCTACTAAGCCCTGAGCAGCCCTTTTATACAACAAACTAAATATCTTGGAAATCTACATGTGTGAAATGCCAGTAATGTTTGTAATTTTAATTCAAATTTTTTTTGCTCTACTTCATATGAGGTTTCTTTCAGGGAATCTTCTTTTACTTACCAGAGTTTCCTTCAAAATCTGTAAAAATAAATAGAAAGCATTTTAGAATTTGCAAATATTGGGTATATTGGGTTCAGTTTAAATTTGAATATGGGATCACGAAAGTTCAGCGATAATCTCTATAATATATTCGACATGTAAGAGATCGAAAAAAATAATTATGATAAAGTGAAGGGGCAGCAAAATAATAAATAATTAGAGCACATAAATTTTGATTTGTAAATGTGCAAATAATTTATTATTATTATTTTTGTCTGCCACATTTCGATGCGGGAGCTGCGGGCTCCAAGAGGTGGCCAAAAATAAATGAGTCTCGATCGAATGTGTGGCCCCAGCCACAAAACTTATCTTAATGCCAATAAATATAAAACTTATCCCGCATGCACATAAATTATGAGCAGCCGATGGCCACCGGCCCACCGACACCGCATCGAGATGCCCACCAATTTCTATGCCAAACGTGGCCAAAATACAGTGCTGGCAGACGGAGAGGAGGTAGGTGCTCGTGTGGCACCTGTTGCAACAAATTATGCGAATGACAACATAAATAGGGATATTTTTATCAAGCCAGCGGCCAAAGAATACATTTATTTACGGCCAAAATAAACACTAATTAATAGGGCAAGTTGTGGGAAATCATCCTCCAATTTGTAAATAAGTGTACCCTCTTTGCCATATTTGAGTCCATTGAAGGCACACAGAAATGTGCTGAAATATTAGTACAGTCAATGGGCCAGAGGTTTGTCTTTGAAAATCCACACAGAAATATTTCACAATCTTTAATCAAAGCAGAGGCCCGCCCAGCAGAAGTATTTTCCTCTTGCGAATAAACAAAACAGCTGCAGACTTTAATAAGCTGTCATAAATTATTAACACAAGTTATGTTGCAATATTTGCAAACATTCTAACATTCTAAAACAATAATAATAGGCGGACTCTCGTCAACACGCTCTTCACATCTACAAAAACAGACGACACGGCACGTGCTGTAAAACCCATTAAAAATATTTTCCTACAGACATGAAACGAGAATAAATAATATTAAAACTGAGAGCGTATTAAAATATGAAATCTTTGTGGACAACAAAATGACATGCAAGACAAACAAATTGCGCTTAAATTTATGACAGGCACTCGCTCTCGATCTGGCTGGCTCTCAGTCTCGTTTGCCATTTCCCAGACCCACATCCGCCATCCTACGTATCAGCGACATCAGGCACACGAGTGCACAAAAATGAAATATGGCCAATGCAAAATATTAAACAAATTATTCAAGTATTTTGTACAAATATTATAAAAGACAAACAGCGATTTATGCACGTACATAAATATTTATGTATAATGTTGGAACAGTGAAGCAAATTGAGGGAAGACTCTCCTGGGGAGAATTGCATTGCGCATAAGACAGTAAATACTGGT